AAGTTATCAATCGGGAGCTCCCTACTGTGGCAACTCTACCGCTGCTTTTAAAACACTCCCATGTGATATAGAGGTGAACTCTGGACCCTATGTTACAGGCTCAGGAATTTTGCTATCATTTCGTCATCAGAGCATGGCTTAAAAATTGCAAATGTGAATATTAATAGCTCACTCGACGAAATTGTTGATGTTAGAATCATGCTACACAACCATCCAGTTCATATTTTCTCTTTACAAGAAACAAAACTTAGTAGTACCATGGAGCTATTTGTTTCTTATATGTTATCAATATATTCTATACCCCCAGAAAATGTATGGACTGCCACTGCAAGCACCGCCATAGTATTACCAAAGAACTTAAATAGCAGAAGAATGAGCTGCTCCGCGTATTTGCATTAAAATCGATGGAACATTCGCCCTCCTGCGGTTGCAGTAAAATTTGAACATTTTACTAAATGGAGAAACTAAAGGAAACAAGCGAACAAGAGCAGCGCCTTCATTATTTTATATATAGCGCCGCCGCGCGGTTGCAGTAAAATTGCTCTCCGTGTACCCACAATGCCTTTTGAACGGATGTTCCACTATATTGGGAAGCTGCTCTATCTTCTGCTATTTATTATCTTTGGTATTACTAATTATGTTATTATGTTATGAATATGGCATTGAGCATCATTATATTTTAGAATTTGTGCACTTTTAAAGAAAAGGAACACGTTCTTGTGTATGTTCTGCTTTCCAATGCTGCTTTACAGGATGCAACTAGGATATTAACGTTCATCAAAATTGTTTGATACTGTCTTAAACTAATCTATTTAAGATGAAAATTGTTGTGTGAATGAACAAAGGCATTAAAACATATGCTTCCGAAAAGAAAAGTCATTAAACTGGTTTTGATATTGGTGGAATGTGATATTAGAACTTAGTGTGTATTGTGAGATTATTTTATTGGCTTTGATCTTTTGAAAACTGAGACTCTGTAGTAAAAATTAAAAATTTTCTTAGTACTGATGTTTTTCTTTCTCTAGAGTCCAAGCAGTTTGTATCTGTTGAGCCCTAACACTGATGCTCTGATATTTAGCTGCAGCAGAAAAATAGTACGGTAAGTGTTAAGCTAATATTTGGTCCATTTTGCTGATGTTTTTCCCAGCTTGGTTGCAGAATAATGATCTTATAGTTTTTATCCGCATTGTGATCGTACTTTTTCTTGAGTTTCTTCCTGAGCCTGATTTTTTTTTATAATTACAGGCTACATATAATAGTATACATACTTAATATATACAGTAGATAATTATACAGTAGAACGCTTCCTTTGGGACATCCCAATTAAATTGACACATCTAGATACCCCTATGGACTGCCAATGCAATCACCACTATAACATTGCTGCCGTAATTAATAAGTTATGAATATGCAAAATTAATGTATGTGGCGGCCATTGTGGATGCTGTTTAATATTATTCACTATTGAAATTATTCGTATACGGTATTGATCAGATCAGGGAACAGTTAAATTAACTGTTCCTTGATCAGTTCAAAATCAATGTGGTCAAAATTGGTACAATGGGCCATGAAACATTGAGTTAGAGACAAAAAGTACATATATAGTTTTTAGTGTTTTGTCGCCATTTTGCTGCCGATATGAAAAAAACGCATTCATACAGTAGATAATTATACAGTAGAACGCTTCCTTTGGGACATCCCAATTAAATTGACACATCTAGATACCCCTATGGACTGCCAATGCAATCACCACTATAACATTGCTGCCGTAATTAATAAGTTATGAATATGCAGAATTAATGTATGTGGCGGCCATTGTGGATGCTGTTTAATATTATTCACTATATTGAAATTATTCGTATACGGTATTGATCAGATCAGGGAACAGTTAAATTAACTGTTCCTTGATCAGATCAAAATCAATGTGGTCAAAATTGGTACAATGGGCCATGAAACATTGAGTTAGAGACAAAAAGTACATATATAGTTTTTAGTGTTTTGTCGCCATTTTGCTGCCGATATGAAAAAAACGCATTCTGGTTAGACAATTCTGTCTATGTTCTTCTTTAGCATGTATGCTACATAAAACACATAAAAAATGTTTTATTCCTGCAATTGTTTTTTTTTTGGGGGGGGTCATGTGTAAGACAGACTTGACTATCCCTACTGCTTGTTACTAAAAATGGATTGACCTTTATATAAAGGGTCATAACTCCTTTTCTCATGGGATAAATCGCTTTAACTATTTTTGTGCAACCATTCTAGATAGTTTCTACTCACAAACCCTCTGTAAAATTCTTTTTGTCACGTTGGCCAAAAAGCTGGGTTTTTAAACCTAAATCTACAAATTAATTAACACACACACGCAAGCACGCACGCCCACACATACATATTCTGTAGAACCCTCATTGTTGGTGTACCCTTAATTTTCGCGATTTTTGCGATAAAGAAAATAATCGCTAAAATTGTGAAAATCTGAACAAAAGTTCTTTTCCTCAATAAATACACAAAATCGCAGAAAGCTACAATAATTTTGCCATAAAAAGGATCATGATTTCTCAAATAAAGATTTTATGGGGATTGTTTTACCTCTAAAATTTTCTTAGACCTAGATTAAGTTTTTTTTTTTTTTTTTTGTTAAGAATTAATTATCTTATTATTTAAAAGCTTTATATGTTAAACGCTTTCTTCCAATGTAATTCCTTACATCTCATTTTCATATATTAATTTATTGTTTCATATTCTTTATATTTAAAATAAACTTAATATTAAAAATATATACATTAAATGTTTAAATGTTTAGTTTACACATGTATGGTTACAATAGAAACTTAATGGTTACAATGGAAAATTAATATTAAGTTTATTGTAATCATATGTGAATATGAATGTGACTTTTCTTAAGGATACTTCTCATCCAGAGCATGACAAAATAATTATTTTTATAATGATTGTAAATGATAATAATATACCGTAGACCTACCCTGTGCAAACCGAATATACGCTGCATTGAAGCGTATGCCTATAAAAGCCTGTTGTTGCCAGAACCAGTTGGGGACAGGGGGCTATTCGGTCCATTTGTTAACATTTCGAACCCCTTTTGTCGGCATGATTTCTGGCCGGATCTTTTCTGTTAAATTTAAAGGCAGATACAATTGTCATGTATAAAAAATGGCTTTAAAAGAGAATTTGCAAAATGATTTTTTGTTCTAGAGAGGATTTTTGATATGCCATTAATTATAGAATCAACCTTAAAATCTTTTTTGGCAATTTTTTTTATGAGGTTATAGGCGATTATATACGATTTTACCATGACGTCACTGGCGAAAAAGTAACAAAAGATCGTGTAAATAGCGCCGCGTAGGGTATCCGCCGCGTACGATCTTTACGTGCATGCTGTAACAATCACAATTTACAGCCATGGTTACAGCATACATGCAAAGATCGATTTTAAGGTTGATTCTATTATTAATGGCATATCAAAAATCCACTCTAGAACAAAAAAATCATTTAAACTATTAACAACTTCTATATTCTTGCTCTTCAGATGTAGTACGGTATGGTCGTAGATATGGCAGACTTTTTTGTACCTTGTCTAAAATAATGATGAATGAAAAAAACAAATTTAAAGTGTTAAAAATGTTGTATATCGCAGGGAAATATGCAAAGGAGCGGAAATCAAGCTTTAATTAGCAAAAATCTAATGATGGTCACCGAATGGGTACCGTATTTTATAAACGGAGAAAAAAAAATGGAAAACAGAAAGGAAAATTCATAACTGTGAGTGAGAGGACACAATCTTACAAATATTTGCACTATATTTGGGGTTTACATTTCTTCTAATAAAAAAAAAATACAAAAAAAAAGAAAAAAAATTTTTTTCAATATTTTTGAATTTTTCAAACATTTTTGTCTATTTAAAAAAAAGTTATTTTTGACACGAAATAACAACAAACAACAACGTGTCATGTCCGAGCCTAGGCCGTCATAGAAGCTCACTGGCTCCTGTGTAATTCATGTTGAGCCAACTGCAGACGAAAAGGTTACAATCTTTTCAGAGATAAGCTGGAAGAAAGTTTTAGACAGTGCCCATGATGGAAGGATTTTAATACTGAGGAATGGAAGTTAGCGAAGTCACTGGCTTGCTTAACCGTTTTTCTTCGATCGTCGCTTCCAAGTTCCAACTGTCTAGGCGCGTCTAGCCTAAAGAGGGCCTACATAGACATCTAGATGTGTATAAGAGACAGCCGTTTGAAATAGTGGGTGGGTAAAACCGGCTAATCTAGGCAACTGTAGGCCATAAATAGAATGAATAGCGCCAAAACGTGATCACTGGGTACTTTTCGTGGTTCTGTTCTTCACCTGTCTCTTATACACATCTAGATGTGTATAAGAGACAGGACTATAACTTATCACTGTACCTTTCCACTTGACTAGGTAAACTTTTTTGATTTTCTTTATTATCACTTTCCATTTGCTTAAGTTTTTTTTTTTAATTAATGTTTCTTCTTGCTTTCTCGTTTATCTTTGCACTGTGCTCCAAATGTAATATTTATAACGATATCGTATCCATCGTATGATTCATGCGGTACATTCACTCTGAAATTTATCAAGCTACTTCCTGCTCAATGTATGCATTTGCTTTCCTTTACATTTTTAAAATATGTTTCCTGTTTGCCTTATCGACTACAGCAGCTTTGGTACAGGGTTAAGTGATTCCTTGGTTTTCCGTCACGGATTGGGCCGCCAAGACTGGCTCCCCGTCCGCACCGACCCTTCTTGATCGATTTCCGAGTTGACTACCATTATGACAATGCCAGTTTTTTTTTTTTTGGTGGGGGGGGGGGTGTCTGGATTTAGATTGTCTCACAGGGTATTATCCGCTATCTCTTTTATAACGACCGCATCCCTGTATTTAACGGAGTTTTGCGTGACCTTTGTTTTATTAATATTCCTGGTCTACATTATCTCTTCTCTCACTGATAATGATAATTATGACACTGGTCAAATGAAACTTCTAAGGTAAGATAACTGGTGTTAATATATTATAAGATACTTTCATAGTGTGATTGGTGATTTCCTGTTAAACTGTGAACTATCTCGACATTTAAGACAGAAATTGGGACAGTCTCGGAGACCATAATTTTAATATTATAACTTTATATATAGTGTTGCAGTATTACCTTTTAGAACCTTAACACAGTAAGAAACAATCCACCCTATGATTAGTCGGATTATATATCAATACATACTATAGTCATACATGAGGAATGTTTGTCCCAAAAAAAAAAATTGCTAGATTTAATTAAATTTTACTTCTTACTTAAGTGTTTTCGCAAGCATTCAGGGGTGGCGCCAGCGGGGGGAGGGAAACGGGGCCTCCCCCCCCCCCGTCGGGAAGAAATAGCACAATTCGTTGGGGAGAAAAAAAATATTATATGTATTTTCTACATATTATTAGATTCTAAAATCAATTAAATAAGCCTTTGAAACCACTAAGTTGTCAAAATGTTCGGGGCTTCGCCCTCTGGACTTCGTAACCTTTTCATCGAAGCCCGACCACGCCCACTTTCCTTTTGTCGGGGAAATCTGACCCCTAGTCGAGGGCATCGCCCCCCCCCCCAATCGGGGACCTCGGCCCCCGTCGGGCAAATCCTGGCGCCACCCCTGCAAACAGTTACAGTATACTTTTGCCTTAAATTAGATATACGCTTATACACTGATTCCAGGATGTTGATACACAATTGATCAGCATTTTCCTTTGCGGCGGTCTCGATGTTCGGTCTCGAATTAGGAACCTCTATGTAGAGACCACTTGCTAGGAGTGGTCTCCACTTTGCCCGCGTGGAAAAACAATTTTAAAAAATAAAAATAGGCCTAAGTCAATAAAATAAAGGCAAATGCAACCCCTGGGTAATGTGCCCGGGGTGGTTTGAAAATGAGCAAGACGATATAGGCCATATTTATAATATGTCGATCACTGAGTACATTCAGTGGTTCTATTCTTCAAACAAGACAAAAGCGCGTTATGATGGGTTACCCCACTCAGCCCCTATGAACAGAACTATAAAAAAAAAAAAAAACTCCCAAGATTGGTATTCTTATTGCTTATTGCAGCCAAGAGGAAGTAAAAACCTTATCATAGACTTATTAAAATGTTAAAGATTGCAGAGTCCTGATGCCTGATTTATGACCCATGGTAGAAGAAGCCCATTGTTAAGTCATAAGATAAACACAAATAAAATTACGTCTATTGCGCTGGTTCGTAATAGCTGACCCACGGGCCAATTAAATTTGGCCCGTGAAGAAAAACAAAATAATGAAAAAAATTAAAACATAATACAAATTTCGATAAATAGATTTTCAATAATGTGAAGACAAAAATGCAATCCTTGGGTAATGACCATGTGCAGGGGGCGGTTTGAAAATGAGCAAGATGATATAGGTCTAGGCAACTGTAGGCCATAAATAGAATGAATAGCGCCAAAACGTGATCACTGGGTACTTTTCGTGGTTCTGTTCTTCACTGTGTGCTTCAAACAAGCCATAATCGCGTTATGATTATTTAGGGGTTACCCCACTCAGATCTAAAATTAAACCATGTCAACAGAAAAATACTTTCAATACTGGTATACTTATTAGACAGTTCTTATAAAGTTAACATAGCAGCCCAAAAGGAAGTAAAAAAATTATCATAGACATGCTAACAGTTGATTGAAGAATTGCAGAGTCGATGCATGATTTGAGAATCATGGTAGAAGAAGCCCATTGTTAAATCATAGAGGTAAACACAACTAAATTTAGGTTATTTTGTAATACGTCTCGGTATAATAATAATCAATGTTTTTATAGCGCCTATAGAATGTTAATAACATATAGGCGCTGGATATAGGTTTTATCTCAAAAACATTCGTAAGACTACTTATTTTACATGATAATAAACAGCTAGTCAACCAAAGAACAGTGCTTATAAAACTACATTTCCATTGTCCTGTAAATAATTCAAGTCATACAGGACGCTATATGACGCCAAGTTGTGTCTCTGTGTTTTGTTCTGATCATTGTGTTTCGTCAATAGCTTCTTTTAAAGTCATACTGTACTCTGTATTAGCATCACACCGATTTTGTGCCGCCTGTACTTTTATTGTTCTCTTCAACCTGATTCGTTAATAGCATTTTTTTCTTTACAGGGAATAAAAAGTTGGTTTATCAACAGACAGACTGTTAAACTGATGACCAAGTCCACACATAAATTTCCCGCGACCCAATTGGGTCTTGACAGCTGGTGGTACAATTTAAAAGTAGGTCCCTATAATTTCAAATTGCAAATATATGGTGTTGGCTAACCCGTACTCAAACCGACCCGTACCCACGTCAACCTTTACCCACTTTGGCTAGCCCGTACACACATTTTGGCCGACCCGTTCCCATCTTTGTCTAACCCGTACACACGTCATATTCATGAACGCGTACCCAAAAGAACCAATGTTATGATAACTGCTTACACATTGTATTAATTTTCAATAACGCTGATAATAAGGTACAGCACGTATAATATGTACGATATTTTTGGCTTATTATGTTACGGTATTTTATTATTTCGGTGGCCCTTTCATTTCAGTCGCAGTATTTTTGTTATGCATTTGTAAAGGATGTAAAGGAAACGAGTTATTTGTGGTTCCAAAATTACTTGGCTGGAAGGAAGCAAGTCACAATAAGCATTGCTTTAGATTTTATTATATAAGGGGGCGAGACACTTATAGATCAGGGCCCCTGGAGCTTGGGGCCCATGTTCAATGAACCTGCTGAACCCGCGGTAGTTACGCCACTGGGAAAGTGGAGGCTAGACTCGAACATGAAAAAAAGTTCTGTCCTTAAGCTAACATCAACAACATTAAAAAATCTTCAATCCTTAATTGGAATAATTGCAATTTTCAACCTGTGTTATTCCCGCGGGTAGGGCGTTCTTAAGCAGGCTTATCGATAGTTTGAACAGCCTCAGCCTACATACGGGCCTGTAAACAACCTAATAGATGAATATGATTTACCATGCTACTCAAAACCGTCAGTTCCCAACAAATTAATTAATTGAAATTAAGTGGTGGTGCCAGTTGTGGAGGCAGATTCCCGTCAGAGTGACTATCAAAATGAGACCTCAACACATTCTTAGGAAAAAAATAATCATATGTAACTTGGAATATGAGCCTGTAGATCGATTACGAGCCTTAAGCATTCAAAATCCTAATTTGTTAGAACTTCCGCGGGCTTTGCCCCCTGGACCCCTTAACAGGTTCTGGGACATCGCTCCTCCCTTGCCGTTGGTCAAATGTTTTTGTGATGGTTTTACAGAAGCAACAAATGAAAGACCATCAATAAGCAAGAAATGGTGGAAAGTTAAGTGTACCAATTATTTTGGCAAAATATCATATCAATCTTATGGTGCAAAAATTGTAATGAATTGAAGTGTCCTAATATTGTGCTGTAGTACAATTAAAATAGTATAGAAGTGACATCAAGTCTAAAAATTATTTTATTTTTTCAAATAAATCAATTAAGACCCATGGCGACAGTATCCTTGTGGGTAGACCACAGCTGTAGAATAAGTATAGTGTATCAGGTTAAATTACGTAAGCATACTTTTATGGAATGAATTCTGTGTTTTGCAGCGATACAATCTGAAAGTCGACAGTCAACCAAGTTTCCACCAAACTACTGTTCAACGTCACACACACCAGCCATGCTAAGTAATGCCCAAACCCCACGATCGGCAGCAACTAAACAAATTAAAACCGGGATTAACCTCTGGAAGCCTGAAATCTCAAAGTTAATCTTGGAACTTGTTGAAAAACATGGCAATAAACAAGAAACGGAAAGAGTGAGAGCCTGGATAAACGATCCTAATACCATTCCTACGGGAGGTTTTACAGTTGCTGTAACCCTGGTTGGCTATGCTGTCGGCAACGTGCCAGGTTCAATGTAAGATATTATATGGCATACATTTTTTACAATTATTTTTTTTTTTTTGTCTGTATTCCGAATTTAGAATTTGGCATTAGGATTTTACTATTAGGCCTATATTGTTCAATAATAAATTCAATAATAATATAAAAATCCTTTACAGTCATAACGGCTTATTTATTATTGATTTATAAACAAACTTGAATTCTTCAATACTATATATCACACTTTACATATTTAAACTCTCGTACCACATTTAGCTTTTAAAGCCAAACGTATTTATATAAGTTTAACCATAATGTGCTAGGCTTTAATGCATTTTGACATTGATAATTTATATATTACGATGCGAGTTTGCCTCAGGAAAATATCATAGGAGTGATATTTTGCACTACCTGACGTGTTATCGTGCTGAATACTCAGTACGACCACCGAGCGTGCGCTTGGTGTAGTAGTTAAGACATCAGGCTAGATACTTGGAGGTCGTGGGTTCGATTCCCAACCGAATCACTTGCGAATTTTGTTCGCTAGTAATTGGGGACGTACTGAGTATTCAGTACGATAACACGTCAGGTAGGGCAAAACATCACTCCTATTAATTCATATAGTTTCTTCTTATTTCAAGGATGTGTTTAGGTAAATTAGGTCAATACCGCATTCCGTTTTTTCCGATTGTCAAGAGTTTGATAATCCGAGAAGTGGATTTTAGTGAGAAAGAGAAGATAGCAGGAGAGTACATAAGAGACCTGTTTAAAGACGCAACATATAAAGATGATCTAAAAGAGCTTTACAAGAAATGGAAAAGAGCAAGAAGAAATGCCATACAAAGTTTGAGAGATATTGCAGATGAGATGAGTGATGACAGGAAGAATGCAAATATTGCTAAGGTAGTTGGTTCTTCCGTGTCTGCTGTAGGAACAGCAGCTGCAGTAGGGGCAACGGCATTAGCGATAGTTACTCCTGGTGGTATTGCTGCAGCAGGAGCAATTGCAGCACTTGGAGGAGCAACAAATATTGGAGCAGATATTGTTGCAGATAAATTGGCTGTCAGAGCCGAAACAAAATCTGAGCAAATTTTAAGTGATCAAGCTAAGAGCACCGAAGATTTTATGAAGCTACTGAATGAATACAAGAAACACACAGAAAATCATCTAAAGACAGCTAAAATGTTCGGTGACGTACTTGTGCGCTTTAGAAAGCTGCACGAAACCAGAGTGAGGGTAACTATTGGTAAGATTCTACATAACTGTACTATTTATACCTTTTGACCTAATGCATTCCGAATGAAATAAAAGAGTACTATCACACCACTTGTATTTTAATATCACAGTACCTAATATCCACGACCTATTGCAATATTTATTGATTTTGTATACAGGCATAGGTGATGCGGTCGAAGAAGAACTCGGGTTTGTAAAATCGTTTGTGAAAGGTAAGAAGACTAACATAACTAGACATTTTGTTGGTTTTGTTTCAACAAATTCATAAACTACCTGGTTATAATTGCCACATTCCCTTAATTTTTATATGTTTTTCTTTAAAAGTGTTGTGTAAGAGTTGTGTATATATTTGTAATTTTTCCTGTAATTTATCCTAAATGTTTTTATGTTTGTTTTCACTGCCATTTGGTTTAAGTTTATATGCAATTGTCTTGATGTTAATTTTAGTCTTATGGTTTTGTATTTTGTTTTTGATGGTGTAATTTGAATGTTGTTTGACGATGTTCATAGTCTGTCTCTTATACACATCTAGATGTGTATAAGAGACAGCCGTGGCGCTTAATGCAGAGTGTAATAGAACAGGGTTTTAAATACAATGTATACAGTGTTAAAATGAATAAATAACAAAATGAAGACACAAGCCTTTCATTATAAACGGCTTTTTTTACGATGATATGACCCACTATTTATTAATCTAATCCATTATCATCAGTTCATATAACAAAATATCAATTTATGGATCACCCCGCAAATCCCCGTCCATGTGTCTGGGGCGGAAGCATGGGGTGGGTTGCAGACAGTGCGATCGCACCCCCTAAATTATATTAGGAAAAATAATTATTTTATTACATTGTTGATATGAACTATTGGTAACAATTTTAAGGTATGAAAGTGCAATTTCCGGCCAGCCAGAAGTCCATATTCTCGAAATTTTCGCACCTCAGTCCCAACTACGTTGGGGCTGAAGTGGCGTGGACTCTCACGTACCCATGGACGCATATCATATGGAAAAGGGGAACACACCCCACATATTTTTAAGCGAAAGGGTTGGTCCCCTTCACTTTTCGTGAGTGAAGAAGATGCCTGAAAATTGTTGAATTAAACTGCATAAATTGTGTGATGATGATGATGAATTTTATTATATAAAAGTGTCATTTCCGGCTATCTAGGTATTATCTCACCAAGTTGTCTCACCTCAGCCCCAACCATAGTGGGGTTGAGGTGGTGGTGGACTCATGGTTTTGAAAAAGGTACATACATCAAACACAATGTTTTTAAGTTGTATTTTCTATGGTACATCACACATATTAATTAGATCTCAGCTGTGGTTGCCGAAAATCGCTGATAAAATATCATCAGTTGGCGCTTCAACTTTACTATGATGGTGATGTGATGATGATGAATTGTACTGTATAAAAGTGTCATTTCCGGCCCTCTACAGGTACTTTTTCCTCTAATTGTTGCACCTCAGCCCCAATTATGGTAGGTGTGGGCTCACGAAATGTCCCCCCCCCCTCCACACACCCCCGCCGCCTACCAGCATTAATTTTTCCCCATACACAGTTGCGGCAGAAATTATAGAGGGTGCTATGAACGCTATGGAGTCACTGGACCAAAATATCTTAATAAGCAAGACAGTTTAAAAATTGTAGTACTAAATTAGACACATTCTATGTAGGCCTACAGCATGGTTTTCGAAAGAATAAAAAAAACGGATTAGGCTAATGGCCTATTGAATCTGGCACCGTATTTGAGTAGGCCTAGGCCTACAGTTAGGCTTTTACAGTATGACGTGTGTGATTGTATGCTCCCAATTACTTAGTATTACTGATTCTGAAGGGTGTGAAATGCTCGGAAACAATTACTAGTACTTCGGACACAGTTAACTTACAATTTTACAATTAAAAGTTTTTTTTATATGAGAAAAAAATCCCTTCCTGTTAACAGCGGTGAGTGTTTCCGTATTCATTTGCATGATTCATTGGTTGGTAACATTTAAGAATTTTTGTAGAACCGTAAATTAATGAAAGCTATTTTTACTTCCATCTGATTTTGATCGTTTTAAATATAAGGCTATTCCATATTTAATTGGGTAGACAGCCTAAACAGTACGTCATATCATGTGTATAGAATATCGTAAAATTACGGTAGTGTTTATAATAATAGGTATACCTGCTTGCTAGGCTTATATAATCTATTCCTTCATTAATATTGAATATGAATGAAATGTTTGTAAGAAGTCAAGATTAAAACAATACATAGAATTGTACCTGTGTGTCCGAGCATTTCTAATCCCACTTCACCTAAATGACCTTAATTAGTGACCTCTATAATTTTTGCCTGAACTGTATGGGAAAAAAATCATGCCCCCCCCTCACCCGGCACCTTCCAAAACAGATCTGCGCCCGGGCACACCCCTACCGAAATCCTGCATCCGCCTCATTATGTTGATGAAGTCCAACAAAACGATGACACTCCGAATGGTCAATTGCACTATATTATTTGGAGTGTTACTTTTGCCATACTTGACAATTTATCGTACTGAAATACTCACGTTCCCAAACACTTACGAAAACAAGTTTCCTAAGTGATTCGGGTGGGAATAACCGACAAAACTACCCTAGTGTCTCTACTAGTTCACCAAGCTTGCGCTTAGTGGCTAGTGTTAAATCATATTATCAGGTAGGGCAACACATCAAACTGCTACTTGGGGATAGTATTTGGGAACGTACTGAGTATTCAGTACGATAATACATCAAGTATGGTAAAACATCACTCCTGACATCGAAATTATATATTCTTTATACCATCTAGGCACTCTGGTGTTTCTTTTCAGCTCTAAATATGGTCGATGATGTTGCTCGACTGGTAACGTATGCCGCTAAAGTCGCTAACGTAGTTGCTGGTGTAGCTGTTATTGGGATTGATGTATACAGTATCGTTAAAACAGCTATGGAATTGAACGAAGGTTCCCCTGATAAGGCCACTGCAAATATTAGAGAAGCCGCTAAAGAGCTGGAGAGGAAGGTGTTACCTGAACTGGAAGATGTAATTATTCAGACACGACTTGAAGCTGCGGAACAGGGTGGAATAGAAGAAGTTGTTGAGGATTAACCAAAGCATTCAATTCTGTATTATCAAAACTCATTACAAAACATTAAATCTAAATTGTGTTTAGATTTACATACAGGTACATAACAAATTGATAAAGATAAAGTGATTTCTATATTTACAAATTAACATTATAAAAAAAATAACAAAATAAAGGAAAAAGCTTCTATATGCTTCACATTAGTTATGACAGGTCTGCCACAACAGAATGCAAATTCTCTAAGGTGGTCACCATTCGGCCCGACGCATGCCGCCCCGACTCTATATCATTCCCTGACCCCTCCTTATTTAACTCGATCAAAGTAAAAGGTTACATATTTTGCTTTGCCACGGGAGACCGGGTGCTTAGAGTTTATGATAATAAAAATAGTAAAAATGACGATGATAATGATATGTTGACGATGGCAATGATGATGAAAATGATGATAATGATTAATGATTAAAATTCAATTAATTTCAATTATATACAGCCCTCTGGCCAGAATATTTTTAAAAGAGTGGCAGAATTTCAAAAAATGTCCACAAAATTTAAAGGGTTAAAGGCGCGTGCAAAAGTTTAAAGGATGGATACATTTTTAGTACTATTCATAATATCGGACTCAGAATGACCATACTATCTTTCGAAAGATGTAATGCATTCTTTATACTGTAGTGCACATGATAGCAACCTAATACACTGAATTAGCTATGAAATCACACTTTTCTTATTTTTTTTTTATTTTGAGCATAATTATGAGAACAATTATAATAACACACACAAATAGGGCCTGTATATAGTGAACTTTTGAAATTGTATATTATGATGATGATAATGATGACGATGACGTCATGTTTAGAAGATTCGACACGACATTTAGGGTGCAGTAAGTGTAAAGGTATAAGAGGTAGAATTGTTACGGTTTTAAAGCAACGTCCAAATGATGAGCCTAATGTAATAAATAAATGGCAAGAAAAAGAGTATGATTGATTACACATTTTTTTTTATTAGTGTATTAATTGTATCTATACATCTATGCATTTAAACGCAGTACTCGTAATATACTTGGTGAGCTCAGAGCTATCTCAAGAAAATCGTAGTGGCCTCATTTCGCGGATTGAAGACTTTAGCAGTGCCTTATCTGGCGGCAGGTTTAACTTTTTTTAATTTAGCAAAATCTTTAAATTCAGAGGTTTCAAATGCTCACATGAAGTTTACCCATGGATTTCATTCTTATATATTAAAAAGAAATGTTTTGTTACAACATTAAAATTTGAATATTATTATTACTTTATTGATGAAAATTCATCATTTTTTAAGAACTTGCTGGTTAAACAAACCGCATACCACTTTACAATGCACAAACATAAGAATGCAAATAAACAGAGCGAAATAACATAATTTTTTAAAATGAGAATTATTGTTTAGCGTTTTCAACGCATACAAAATAATGTAAACATCTGATTGATATGCCTTCTATTTTGAGAGAATCTTTGGATGTATTCACATGATCTAAAATGATGTGTCACTTGTGCTCTTTAAACATGGAGGCCTAGCTCATGTTTTCGTTGCGAAAACTCTCAAAGAAAATCGTTTTCCTCACTCACAATATATACAGATGTAAAATATAGATTAAAAAAAATACTGATAATTATTTAAGCAACATTTTAGGAAAATCTTTTCCTTTGGCAAGATATCAGACAGTGTTAAAATTTAAGACATATCAACATATTTAAGACACTCCACTACTATTGTTACATTATCATAACACTTCAAGACAACGCGCATAAACATAAACATGTAAAAAAAGAAATTATAATATGACACCTACACAAAAATCAATCCAGAGATATAAGCCTATCACCCCCAACATAACTCAACATCTTTCAAAGCTCGAAATTTGTAATAGTGTAGGCCTACTGAGCTAACAGTAATAGAGAATGCAGTTATTCAGTTTTGTTCTTTACGTACAAATATTTTTAGTCCTATCCTTATAATTATGCCACTCTCTTTAATAAAACAAAACAACAATAATAATTGTCTAAGCTAGATACATTTCATCCAATTCATTAATGCTCTTTAAACTATTGAATATTAAACGATAATACACAAAAGATATTATAAATATAGGCCTAAGCTAAATTTAGTTGGGTTTAATGACCTGCTTATCAATATTAGGCGAAAAAGTTTCCCGACCGATCACATAATACAATCAGTCA